TAAGTCTTAGGATTTTAACCGTAGTTGGAACTGTATGAAGACGACTCCGGAATGGAGTTCCGATGGTTCCGTTAGCTCCGTTGGGTAATTTTGGACTTAGGAGAGTATCCGTACTGTGAATCTGAGGTCTGTAACCAATTTAGGCTTGAAATGGCGAAAGTCGAATTTTTGGAGAATTGGACCGGAAGTTGACTTTTTGATATCGGGGTCGAAATTCTATTCCAAGAGTTGGAACAGCTCCGTTATGTTATTTGGGACTTGCTTGCAAAATTTAATGTCATTTCTGGGTTGGTTTGATAGGTTTCGGTACGAGTTTTAGAAGTTGGAAGTTTTTGAAGTTCATAAGTTTGATTTGTGGTGCGATTTGTATTTTCGGCGTAATTTGATGTGATTTGAAACCTCGAGCGAGTCTGTGATATGTTATGGGACTGGTTGGTATGATTGGACGGGGTCCCGAGGGGCTCGGGTGTATTTCGGGGTGGTTTAAGACCAAATTGGAGCTGTTTGGACTGCTATTGCTGAAGTCTGGTTTCCTTCTTCGCGAACGCGAAGAGGAATTTGAGGGTGATGATTTGTCCTTCGCGAACGCGAAGAAGGAGCAGGGAAAGCCTTCGCGAATGCGGCCCAGGCAACGCGAATGTGAAGAAGAAAGGAAGATAGGGGCCTGGGGTCGTTTGGCCTTCTCGAACGCGAAGGAGTTGGTCAGCTGGTCATCGCAAAGGCGGCAAGGGGTTCGCGAACGCGAAGAGGAAATGATGGGGCATAAACAATTGGCCTTTGCGAACGCGACGAGAAGGTCGCGAACGCGATGAAGGATTTGAGGCAGTTGGGTTTTGGCCTTCGCGAACGCGAGGCAATGGTCGCGAACGCGAAGAAGGCCTATCTGGGCAGAATTAAAAGTCCCAAAAATGGGGGTTTGAGTTCATAACTCAAAATCAAAGTTGGAGCTCGGTAGAAGGCGATTTTTGGAGAGATTCTTGCGTGTGTGTTTGAAGTGATTCTTATCCAGTTTTGATTAATTTTCATGATTATGTATTTGAATTCATCGTTTAATTCGGATTTAATGGAGGAAAAATCAAGATTTTTGTAAAATCTTCCAAAAACGAAAATTTAAGATTTGGAAGTCGAGTTGTTATTGAAATTCGATAAAATTGGTATGGTTGAACTCGTATCGGAATGGGTGTTCGGATTTCATGAAAATTATGTCGGGTTCCGAGAGGCGGTTCCCGCGTTGACTTTTGTTGACTTTTTGGAATAAATTTTTAAGTCGACGTATTATTATCCGGAATTATTTCCGATGAATTTTAATGAAGTTATACAATTATTTTGGATAGATTTGAGCTGTCAGGGGGTCAATTCAAGCAAGAAGGTGATTTTGAAACTTCGGCATAACTTCAAAGAGGTAAGTGTCTTGCTTAACCTCGAGTGAGGAAAATTCCCCTTAGGCATTGAGTCTTATGTGCAACTTGGGTAATTGAAAACCATGTCCGCGAGGTGACGAGTACATACTTGGTTTATATGTGCAAATTTTATTGAGTTAAAGTCTTGAGCATATTGTGTAGTAAATTAGATAATTATTGGCATATATTTTATCATCTACTTGTCGTGCATAAACCCTTGTTGTTGACTCTGTTGTTATATGACAATATGATGTGATTATTATTTGATTATTTGAGAAATTCCGTGAATTTGGTGGCTTGATAATTATTGGAATTTAATTTCATTTTGGATTTTTTCCTCTGCAAATAATTAATTAAATGATCTTAAGAAGAGGTGTTTATATAATTATTGAAAATTTGATCTTTTATGAAGACTTTGCTTTATGTTGAGTAATTTCTATCTCTATTGATTGTTTTTGGGTGTTGTACATATTGTGTGGAGCATTTGGCTATTTGATGTGAAATTAATTGACTTGGTTGTAGCTTTGAAATTTGGTTGTGGCCATTGGAAAAATTGTGATATGAATTGATTTTTGTTATGTTGTTGTGATAATTTCCCGTGTAAATTATTGTGTTGTGTGAGTTGTTATTTTGGGGAGATAAGGGTGGTATTTCACCGTTGATATTATGTGGTTATAAGGGTGGCATTTCATTGTTGTGTTTGTTGGCTATTGATATTGTCTGGGCGGAGCGATAAGGGTGGCTATAGGAGCGATAAGGGTGGCAATAGGAGCGATAAGGGTGTCTATTGATATTGTCTGGGCGGAGCGATAAGGATGGCTATAGAAGCGATAAGGGTGGCAATATGAGCGATAAGGGTGGCTATTGTCAGCGACGATATGTGATGATGTGGGGTTGTGGTGTTGAAAATTTTCATGTGATGTTGTGATTTTCTTGTATTTATTTTTATACCTTGTGCAACTTGTCTTGTTGTTAGTAAATTGATAATAATCTGATTTTGTTGAAATTGGGAGCCTGTGGCTATTGCCAGGCTGTTTATAAAATGAAATGTGGGCACGAGGTGCCGTGAATTGTAATATAAAATGGGGATATTAGCACATGAATTGTCCGTGCAGTTGTGATATAAAATGCGGGCACGAGATGCTGTGATGAAATGATAATGATATTTGGCACGTAAATTGTCTGTGCAGTTGTAATATGAAATGAGGGCACGAGGTGCCGGGCAAATATGATGATTTAATTATGGGCACGAGGTGCCGAAAAAATATAAAAATGGGCTGAGACCCGTATTTTGATGATTTTGAAATGAGGTGTCACATGGTGACTTTTTAATTGAAAGAATTATATTCAAAATATTTATTTGAAAGGATTTTTACTTAGAAAGTATCATATAAAAATTGTATTTTGAAAGATATTTATTTGAGAAAATTGTAATTGAAAAGATTTATTGAAAGAATTATATTTGAAAAATAATTATTTGAGAGAATTATATTTGAAAAATAATTATTTGAGAGAATTATATTTGAAAAAGAGTTATATGGAAGAACTATGTGAAAGATATTTATTTGAAGGGCTTGATTTGATTGGGTGTAATTGTGTTTATTAATTGTTGAGTGATATTAATGGTATTCTTGTTGTCTGTTGTGCATATCACTGGTTGTTTTATCCTGCCTTTACTATTATTTGTTTCCTATTATTTTGTATATTATATTGCACATGTTATTAGACTAGTGAGTTGTCTTGACTGTACCTCGTCTCTACTCCATTGAGGTTAGTCTTGATACTTACTGGGCATCGTTGTGGTATGCTCACTCTACACTTCTGCACATTTTTGTGCAGAGCCAGGTATTGAAGATATCGGACTTGAGCAGAGTTAAGGCGCGATTATAAGGATTCAAGGTAGAGATGCTTGGCCATCGCAGTCCCTTGGAGTCTTTTCATTTCATATTACTGTTAATTTGTAATCAAACAGTATTATATATTCGGTCCTCGTGATCATTCCATGTATTCAGTTAGAGTTTGTAACTCAGTACTACTAGTCTTGGGAGGTTGTGTATTATAATTATTTCCGCTGTTATATTTTTTAAAAAAATAGCTTCAAAATGTAATAGAAATCGGCTTACCTAGTCTTAGAGATTAGGTGCCATCACGACACCTGTGGTAGGATTTTGGGTCGTGACAGCTATTCCCTTCATTTTCACAAAGGGCACATGCCCAAGTCTATTGTTTCACATAATATCATTCTCATAAGATGTACAAAAATTCAAAGGAACATAATTTTTTTATCTTATTCACAGATGGAGAAACATTTATAGTAGTACTGTTACTAGAAGAATGGGCATTCATAGATGCAGTTTTAATCAGAGGTGAATTAAATATAGATGGAGAGTACACATCTTGCATATCACATGGATGAGCAGACAAACAGGGAATATAACTAATTGTGACAGAAGAAGAACTTGTATCCTTTTGTTTCAAACATTGAGAGCATATGAGGTAAAGTCCACCCTTGAGTCTACCAATCTCCAGAGGCCTCTTCAGTGAAGGAGCCTGCAACATACAAGCACCATCGGTGAAGAATGCAATTCCTCTGAGATTTAAAGTCAACAAATGAATAGAAATGAGGTTATATTTGAAAGAAGGGACAGAGAGAACTTTGTGCAACACAATCCTAGGTGCAAGTCTCACACTTTCAACTTCTGTTACTCTAACTTTATAACTATTTGGAAATATGACTAATAGAGGGTAAGACAGAATAGTGATATCACACATTGAGGATCTATTGAAGGTCATGCGATTTGAAGCTCCTGAATCTAATATCCATATATTAGTTTTAGATTTAAAGCACCTATATGATAGTTTACCAAAGTCAATTGAAGAGGTACAAACTACAATACCTACAAAGTTTGCAGCTCTAGAGTTCAGGTTCATGTTGTTAGAATTCTCTCCTCCATTTTTGGTTTGGAAGTGTTGCAGCAAGCTCATGAGTTTACCATATTGTTCCTTGGTAAAACTCATTCCCTGATTCTCATCATGATATTCACCTCCATCTCCATTACTAGTTACCATTTCAGTCGAAGGATCATGAACATTTGCCAATGTTCTTTTTCCTTTGTTGAATTTGAAACCTTGATTGGGACTTTGGAAATTTTGATTAGTTCCTTGAACTTTCTGGTTGTGGTTTTGAAAGGACTGGCTAGAACTTTGGAAGTTTTGAGGATAATTATGGATTTTATAGCATTTCTCTTTAGTGTGCCCTGGCTTTTTTCAATACTTACATACTAGACGAGATCTACTATTGGAAGTGTAGTTGTTTCATGGGTTGTAGTTGGTTCTGAAACTAGGCTGTTTGGAGGTGTAAACATTCAATGAGGTAGACTCAAACATCAGTTGATTGTTAGGTTTGATTTTTCTTTGCTTTTCTTCTTGAATCAGTAAGGAAAAGGCTTGGGCCAAGGATGGTAAGGCATTCATCATGAGGATGCTTCTTCTTACTACAATATACACCTCATTCATTCTCATGAGAAACTGAATCAATCGTCTGTCTTGTTCAGCTTTATGCATATTCTCTTTGGCTCCACATGTGCACTAACAACTACACTAAGTTTTTGCACTTAAGGCGTTGAACTCTTCCCATAATTTCTTCATTTTGGTGTAGTAACCAGTAATATCTAGTGCTCCTTGTGACAAATCATTTATCTCCTTTTGAATTTGATATAGTTTTGCACCATTTGTCTGATCATAACGATCCTCCAACTCTTTCCACAGCTTAACAAAATCATTGACATACTCCACACTATTAGTAATTTCCTTCCCCAAAAAATTTAAAATCCATGAGGTGACCATATCATCACATCTCTCCCATAGTCTATACTTTGGAAACTCCAGATATGGTTTCTTACAGTCTCCATTAATAAACCCTAATTTATTTTTAACAGACAACACACGCAATACACTTCGTCTCCAGGACCTGCATCCAATTCTATTGAAAGGAACTGGTACTAACATCGTACCAGGATTGTCAGATGGATGCATGTACAAGGGACTGCTCGAGTCAATGGTGGACTCTTTGTTTGAGTCCACATCAATATGCTCGATTTCGTCATCAATAGCCATGAGAATTATTTAACCAACAGTGTTTGAAGGAAAGTAAAGTAGAGAAACAGAGACGACTTATGATGAACCCTAATTTTGCGGAGAGAAGGAATTACCTCCACTTACATGCGTAGATCAAGAAATCGATGATCTACACGAGCTTCGTATGTGTAAGACTACTGGATCGGATCATCCGCTACTCTGATACCATATTAAAATCAGTGACGTAATGAAGCAATTGAGCTCGAGGTGTGTTCCAATGGTGGAAATGGAGACTTGGAGAAGAAGCCCCAAATTAGGGGCATATGCGAGAGTAGAGAAGAAGAGAACTTAGAAGTGAAAGTCTCAATTATATTGACTCTGTAATGTTGTATATATACAACTACACAATCAAAAGGAAACCAGAACAAACCGACTAACTAACTAATGGAAACATAACCAACTCAACTAACAAAGCTACCTGAATAGTACAACTGCTAAAGCTATAAATAGTGTAATATATCTCAATAATATTTTATAATATATTACTAAAATTCACATAATATGCGCATCTTTTAATTTTGTAATCGCTAAACCCAATGGTCAAATTAGTAAATTTTGTTGGGCCAAACCGGAATACAATAATCTTGAACTGTGAATAGTTCATACAAAATAATAAGACACGATGATAAGCACACTGAATTCGAATTTTATTGCCATTGATATATTAAACGATAGTTTTTGGACCATTACAATTACTCCTTATGTCTCAATTTGTGTAATATTTTTTTACTTTTTAATTTATCTAAAAATAAATAACTTAATATATATATATATATATATATATTTAAAAACAAGTTTAAATTTAAACTTTTTATTTTACCGTCAATGAGATGATTTATAACGAAAAAAGTCTAAGAAGAATTAACCTAAAGTAGATCATTATGGTCCAATAGTTGTTTTCTATGTGCACATCTCTTCCGTTCTTAATTTAGGGACTCAACATATTTCGATATCATATTTAACACATCAATATAATAATCTAGTCCACTAATGAAATTATCGACTTTTAAACACGCCACCACCATTTCTCATGTATTTTGTCGATTAAACTTTTCTAAAGTATTACATACTGAAAGTATAAATTCAAAAAATAGTATTATTGAGTAATTAAGATTAGGAAAGGATTCTAGATAGCATTGCACGTTTATGTACAGCGTAGTGTACCATATGTATGCCAATTATAATTATTTTATATACGTGTGATGATGAGCTTAATAATTGGAATCTAAAAACAAAAGTGTGGGATCCCCAAATATGTTTTAAGTTTATTATTATGAATTATTGGATGATATTATTTCGATTATTTTGTAGCACTTTTTCTTTGCCTTTTTAATCATGACGTCACCTCCAAGATCCAATGATAAAAGCAGAATGGTTTCTTATAATATTTATATTTTATTAATGTCATATCAAAGCAGGAAAAGTTGGTGGATGTTTCTGATTCTTTGATTCACCAAGAAACAGGGAAGTCAATAATGTTAACAAAGTAATTTTTTATTTTTAGTTTTTAGTTAAAATAAATTATAAATATGTGGTATAGCATGGACAGAGGAATTATTTTTTGAAGAAAAAGGGAAACAAAATGTTGTTTTGTCACAATGTCTCAAGGTCACATGGTTTTGATTAATTTGTATTTAAAAAACATATCACTTTTCTAAAATATATCTTAATAATTCGAAAGGGAAAAAAAAAATAGAAATCCAAGATAAAGTTTGGTCCCTTTTTTAGCTAATTGAACAGAAACAAACTATATGTTGACTGACTTTTTTATTTTTTATCAAGAGATTGACCAATTATTGCTTTAAATTGTGCAAGCATGAAATATGGAAATAGTTAGTAAAAAAAAATAAAAAAGAGTTAGGCAGATTTTATTTTTTTTCTCTGGACCTTCTTATTTTCTTTTGTGAAATAACTCAAGCTTTAAGTCGGTACCCTTTTATTTTTCTCGTCTTTTCTCCCAAAGTCGAGTGACCTACTAATTCATTGCAACTTTTGCATTCTAAAGTTTTCGACCAAGAAAATCAAATAGCCGGCGGGGAGGCGACTTATGTCCGTGACCCTATGTCCGACCATGTCGAGGTGTGATACCAAGAGAGCCATCGCAACCACTATTAGATTTTTTAAATTAAAATTCTAAATGTCAATTTTGAAAAATTAATTTTCTAAAATATAGGTATGCTATTTACTATACTATCTACTCTTCTTACCTCTTTCTAACTAAATTTATAATTGTTGAATGATTCATCGAAATAATGTCTTTCTTAAATCTGCTAAAATTTCAATTACTTGCCAAAAAATATTGAGGTGTACCAATAACTAAGGCGTTTTTGTGAGGAACAAGTTAGGTATTACCATCTAACAAGTTAGGTAAATTTTACCATCTTAAATTTCGAGACCCAAGGGGTTGTTTGGTTTGAAAACAACTTATGCTGAGATTGGTTATACTTGGATAACTTATTATGTGAGTACTATTCCACCCTTACAGGGTCTTTTATTATGATGGATATGCAAAAATAATTCTAGGACAAAAATTTAATAGTACTTCATCCTTGTTAGGTTACTAATCCTGAGATAAGTTATCTTAGGATTAAAAATAATACCAGGATAACTTATACCTGGAATAGTAATCCCAAGATAAGTTATTCCAGGAGAAAGTAGTAAAATTGACAATCCCATGATTAATATAACATATCAAACAATCAATAAGAAATAATACCAGGACAATAACCCCAACACAACTAATCGCAATATAATTAATCCCAGCATATCTTGTCTTCAAACCAAATGACCCCTAATGGTTTGTAGTCGACAATCCATAAAGGGCAGTTTGGTGCACTAAGCTCCCGCTATGCGTGGGGTCCGGGGAAGCCGGACCACACGGGTCTATTGTACGGAGTCTTACCCTACATTTCTGCAAGATGTTGTTTCCACGACTCGAACTCGTGACCTCCTGATCATATGACAACAACTTTACTAATTACGCCAAGGTTCCCTTCCATATACGGTATAAATTCATGTTATTCAACTTGATTATTGATTGTATAATCTGGGTTAGCTTCAAGAAGAAGTAAAAGCAAAGGAAAACCAAGAACTACTTCTAACCTATTATTAATATGAGAGAGAATTAATGTGAGCTCAACTTGATACTCTTGTGTACATCGCGTTTCAAGAAAAATATACAGCATGATATGCAGAGACACCGGAAATCAATGAGTTCAACTAAATTAATTGCTTTAAAATTGAATTACGTGAAAATATATATATATAT